ATAAAGTATCTAAACAATGTTTGAAAACAAATTATTTTTAGCCTCACTGTTGGCCATCTCTGTGACAGGTGAGCTGTGACCTTTTGTCAGCAGCCTAGCTGAGATGCCTGCTGATGCCAGTGGTATAAGTGACTGTCAATGTTCCTCATTAATTTATCTTGCTGTCTCATGTATAAACTAGAACTTGCTCACCTCAAACATCCTTGATGTCAACCTATCATGTTTGCCAAATTTTGCTCTCGCACATTGCATCTCCCAGTAACCAGAGCACAAGTAGCTGCTTTTAGGTGCCCCAATAGTGCCCATTGAAAGGAAAGCACCCAGGCCAGTTTACGGAAGATCATAGTTTGCCAGAGGTCAGAGACAGAAATCACCGCTGCATTTTGTTTAAAGAACCATATCAGGAAAGAAAGAGGGGAAGAGAATGAGAGAGGAAGGGAAGGGAAGCTTAATAAACACCCTGGTCTTAAAGTTCCCTCCCAAGATTTATAATAGAATTAATCAATGCTAAATTAAAATAGTGTGTGTAATGACCAAGTAAGCTGAAAATAAGTTGATCTTTCAGGTACTGAAGAACAAATAATCGCACAGTCACATAACTTTTCAGACTGAAAATTATTCTAAATATTCTCATGTTTGATCCATGAAAATAAATATGAATATTAACATTGCACGAGTACCATTTGTAATTTTTCCCTTCATCAGTATAGTGGAGAGGCTAATTTTAAGCAAAATTACTACTTGAAAATATGGTTAAATAGGCCAATTCCACTTTTGCACACTTTCTTCTCTAGTTATACGTCCCTTATATCTTTAGGGGTTTCCATCAAGCTACTCAATTCATCCTTACCTTCTAGGATAACACTGCAGCTTTCTCCATCTTCTCTATTCAAACCCTTTCGAATATTAGGTCAGCAGAGTGATAAAGTAAGTTTTATATAAATGATGGGCTAACAAAGTTTAAGGTATTTACTCTCTCAGTAAGATTATGCATTTTAACTGGGAACTTTTATAGACATAATACTTTTAACCCATAGAGAGATAAATGGTGAGAACTCTGGGCACCACCAAAGACAGATCAGTGGATGGGGGGATACTTCTAGCAGGAGTACCTTCCAACAGCCCTCAAATGATACTCCTAATACGGTGCTGGTTCTAAACCACAAACAATAACTCTACTGTCCTACAGAGCCCTGTGAAAACTGGCAATCCTGTGGTGTGCCATGCTGTGTTATGTCAACTTAGTTAAACTAAGAATCCTTAAGGTGCTAAGTTTAAGTTGGCCAGAAGAAGAACTTGTGCAGGGTTTGGAAAACAAAAGTGAAGCAGCAGGCTTTACTCTCGGAAGGTGGTCAGTCACACACAGTAGCCTGGTAGGTCCCAGCTCATCCTCAATCTCCCCTGCTCTGTGTCCAGCTCTTCTTGACAAGTGATGGCCCTGCTGGCCAACAGTGGCCCCAGGGACACCACCATCTACTCAGCTGTGGACCCTAAGGGGTAGTAGCCACACAGAAACAACAGCTTCCCAAAGACTTTTCCATGGTCCCACTTTGGAAATGGGTGAGCTTGGCTTCTCAGCTCAAGCAATGCAGGCTCCTCTGCAAGCTCTGACTTGTTCATCTTGGCCAGTGCTTCAGGCATGCTGGTTAGTAACTCCTTTTTCAGATCCTCCAGCTCCTGTTCAGGGCTTTATTTACCCAGTTCCTCCCACATATGTGTCTGGTTTCATCCCTGTAAGAAATCTCCTATTTCCACAATATTCATGCACTACTTCCTACCTAAGCCCTGATGGGGCAGTCTGCAGATGACCTTTACAGAGCCCAGTCCTCCACAACAAAGGGCTGTGCGTGTGTGTGTGATGCACAGCCATAGGTGATTGCCAGTTATCAAGTGTCACAATCCAACTTAAGCCTACATTATCTTTCTGAGCCTCTGATTTGTGTTGTGGTAGATGTGATTTACAATTCATTTTTAAAAACTGTTTATCATTTTGAGAGCTGACACTGATTTTCAACCTGGGCTCTCTGTACATCAGCTAAATTAACGAGATATAGAGATTCAAGATTCAAGATTCAAAAAACAAATTACTAATGAAATGATCATCGACAACCATCTTAAAACCCCAGGCTAAAGAGATCATGTTATACCATATATCCTCTTAAGTAAGGGTACAAGATCATGAATATTTATAGTTTACAATCAATATCAGTCCTAAGTCAGAAGTTTCAATGCTCTAGGTCTCAGGACATGGTGCAGACATCAGAGTGTGTCCTACCTGAGATTTCAAACAAGCTGTGGCAGGGAGTGGGGAGGTGAATAAATGGGGAATGGGATTGCTTTGCTTTGTTTCCTCGAGGTGAGACACATAACATGAGATCTACCCTCTTAAACGACTTTTAAGTGTACAATATAGTATTGTTATCTATAGGCACAAAGTTGTACAGAAGATCTCTAGAACTCATTTATCTTGCATAACTGAGAAGCACAGGCCACTAAGGTCTGACCACACCCCAACTAAAACCAGTGCTGAATGTAGAGCCTCCAGGTGTTATGATTACAGAGTTTAATCAGTCATGTATTGACACTGATACTGATTGGACTTAAGTATATCATTTTGAGTTGTTCAAATCTAAATCCACTAAAATTATGTCTTGAAACTCTACTGTATGTAAATGTATTTAGTCTGCTAGGGCTGCCTTAACAAAATATCACAGACTAGGTGGCTTAAACAACAGAAACTTATTTTCTCACAGTATGGAGGCTGGAAGTCTAATGCAAGATACTAGCAGAGTTGGTTTCTGTTGAGTCCTCTGTCCTTGGCTCACAGTGTCCTTGTCTTCTCATTGTGACCTCACAAAACCTTTTCTCTGTGTCCAAATGTACCTGATGTCTCTTCTCCTTCTTCTAAGGACACCACCAATCGTATTGGATTAGGGCCCTACCTTATAACCTCTTTAAAGACCCTGTCTCTAATACATTCACATCGGGGGTTAGAGCTTCAACATATGAATTTGAGAGGATAGAGAAGGGAAGACACAATTCAATCCATAACACTAAGGAGCACTGACAAAAAGAATATTGATTTGACTCAATTTTCAGATGCCCATGGCTCAAGTTAGAGTCATATCTAACATGAGCATGCTATGCAGAGATGCTATCAATTCATAATTGCTGTATAGTCACAACATTAAAATTTGATATTACATCCATAGATACTGATTTCTAATTATTTCTTTTAAAGTTGGACATGTTTGTGATGGAGAAAGAAGGGGCTTAAGAAAGGAAGAGGATGGAGACTGATGCAGTAGGAACCAACTTGGAGATTTGCCAAAAATAAATAAATATATATATACAAGTTAGAAAAAAGAAAATGAGGCACTGGGTAGTAAGTAGATGGAATGGGAATATCAACAAACAGATAATAAGAAAGGCCTGGAGCTGTAGAAAAAGAAAGAAACGGGGTTGGGGTGCACGTGTGTGTGAGCATGTGGATTACGAAACATAACAGCCAGGGTAATTGGGAGGCTGACATTAAGAGGGTAGACTGGTCAGCATGTAAATGCTGCCTTTCGGTGTGATGCTCACAGCTGGGCCAATTATATTTGGGCAGGGCCACGTCCACATATCGCCATGGAAAGGTGACTGCTCCCAAAAAAAGCTATGAAGGTGACAGGTGCTCTAACATATCTCTAAAGGGGACACCTGTTTCTGGCACTTAACAACATGATAACAAATTGGGACTCCAGAAGGAAAAACATAAGCTTCTTTTATGAATTTTTTACCATTTACTGTACAAATTGAAGAAAAAACTCAAAGAAATGCATCAATATATATCATAGTCTGAAAACTCCAGCTACAGTATTTTCTTCAGAGTGGACTAACTTTTAAAATCCCATCTTTAAAATCTCTGAAGCTAAAAAATAACTGTAACATGCACAGTTTTTCTTGTTTGTCATTAATATCAAGTGTTACTAGAATGCTCAAAATTGCATGAGCCATATACATTAGCACAATATCTGCCTTTGAAAAAGCAAAAGCATTTTTCAGAACAGAATTAAATAGCACAAATAAAAGAAGGAGATTTCTCTGAAGTTGCTCAGGTGTCAGGTTACATCTGCAAAATCAAAACTACATCACAATATTCTTGTCTGATTTTTAATTTGCTTTAAGCCAAATAAACATGAATAATGAGAAAGAAATCTCAACCTAGAAGCTGGTAACATCATAAACCATACACAGGACACTTGATTGCTTTCAGTCATAAAATTCCATCATAAAAATCACACCTGCGTGAAAAAAGTTTTTGCCAGATTCTGTCTTTTCCCCTCAGATAGCCATCCCAACCAAAGGACATTCAGTTCAATGCCTGGGACCATCAGTTATTAGGGCTTGTCACAAGTCAGAAATCATTCAAATATATTTCCTGCACCCTTCTAAAACTATAAATAAAAATGTTACACTATCATCTACTGAACAAAAGAATTTGAGCTTAAATGGCAGCAGTCAGGATTTAGGTTATAAATATTTTGTGATGATGGAAGTTAAGATATAGGAAAGGGTCATATTGAGAAAGACTAGAGCCTCCCTCTCTGAAACTATCTAAAAACAAGATGTGTTTTCCTCCACGATCCCATAAATCAAGAGGTCAGGTAACTGTAGGGCTTTGTATATAAGAACAACAAAGGTTGTATCTATTCATTGCTGTATTGATTATCAAATCCAATTCAACATTTAAAAAAGCAACATAAGGAGACTCAGTCCTCATTCTCATTCTTCCATGAAATATGAATACTTTCACATCTTTATCACCATTTTCCTATTTAAAAAAGCACCCATGAATGTGATAATTAACAAGCTTGGTAATAGAAATACAAGAATAATAGAAAGATGTCTGGACTTTGGGTCAAGAGACCTGGGCTCCACTTACAACACCATTCTATTAGCTGTGTGATCTTTAAAAAAAAAAAAATTGGCACACAGCACCTTAAAGACCAAGGGCGATGGCTGCTGGAACCACAGGCCCCTTGAGGAGGAGGGGTCCAGCGGAGAGGCAACAGCAACCCCGCAGGCCCAGCCACCGAGGAGTGAGCCCCCAGGCGTGCACCCAAGCTCATCTCTCCAAGCTGTCCCCCTCACCAGTGAAAGCCTTGGTTAACGTGTATCCTGTGGTGTGGAACTTCTTGTGGAGACTATTTGCAAGAGATGCCTACTGCTGTGCTCAACAAGGAAAGAAGAAAACCCTCCAGAGGAGAGATTTGGATAATGCAATAGACGCTGTGTGGAAGAATTTGATTTTCTGGGAAGTACTTTAAATTGATTGCTGAGCTATGCACTTGTGTGAGCCTTCACCTGCATTCTTCAGCTAGTCCTCTGCAGGCCTCAGCTTTGAAGAACATAGTCCTTGATAAACTTTTCCTGTCCTAACATCATGTAAGCTGAAATAAACAGAGGTCTCACCTGTGATTTTTTTTTTCTCTACAAAGCCTTCCACTGCTGTGTCTTCATTTCCTCCCTGGATGCAGCTGTTGCTGCTTGAGGAGAAGATTAATAAAATGATTTGTGCAGGCCGCTGAATAAATGATAGGACCCAGAATAAAGGTCTGTGATCAACTAGTTTGTTTCATAGTCTTGTCTTGGTTCTTGCCACCGTGACTGGAAAGCTACCAGGCCCGGTCACAGACAGTCCTGATTTTCCCTGGTGACCATTCTAAATCTCAGTTTTTATTCATTTATTTGTTTGTTTTTTCAGCATTTCATCAGAATCTGATTCCAAAATTTACTGGATACCAGTTAATGTCTTCATAAGTTCAAATAAATGTGATCCTAGATTTAAAACTAATTAAAAATTGTAACAGCTTTATTGATATATAATTCACATATCATACTCTTCACCTTTTAAAGTATGTATTTCAATAGTTGACAAATATCAACAAAATTATAGAACATTCTCATATTAGTGGAATCATAATATGTGGTATTTTGTGTCTGGCTTCTTTCATGTAGATAACGTTTTCAAGATTTATCTATGTGATAGCATGTATTGGTACCAATTCCTTTATTTTCATTTTTATTTTTAGTTGTAAAATATACATAACATTAATATCATTAAAAAATCAATTAACTTCTTTTAGCTTCAAATTCCTCTTTAGTAAAATAAGTTCTGCCCTACCTACATCACAAGCTTGTCTGCTTGTCATAAGGATTGCATGTAACAATGTCTATGAAAGTGTTATATAAACACACTTCATATGATGGTGTCACTTATCATCACAGTAATGACATTATTTCAATTTCCACAATTCCAGTTACACATAGTCAACTAAAATTTGAAAATATTAAAAAGAAAATTCCACAAATTAACAATTCACAAGTTTTAAATTGCGCATCATTCTAAGTACTTCACTCTATCTCATCATGTAACCACTGTATTTCACATCATCACAAGACGAAGCAGGGTGAGTACAATACAGTAAGATATTTTGAGAAAGAGACAAAGAGACTACATTCACATAATCTTTAGGATGGTATATTTTTATAATTGTTCTACTTTATTATTACTGATTGTCATTAATCTCTTACTCTGCTTAATTTGTACACGGAACTTTAACATAGGTTTGTATGCAGTTTCGGGTATCCACAGGTATCCTGTGGATAAAGGGGAGCTACTGTATATGACAAGTAATTATCCATATCCAGATCCATATCCATCCACTAATCACATCCATATCACAGATTGCACTCGGCTAATAAATATATATAATGCATATGCAGTGAATAGTAAGCAAGCACTAGCAGGATGAGGGCATGAAATGAATACCAACTGTAATGTTTACCCAAATTGTTCTTGAACAGATGGAAACCACAAGGTCTCAGCCATATCTCATACTCTCTGGGTCTCCCGTGTTTTAGGATGCAGCTTTGGCCCTTCAGCTTTTCAATCCTTGATGTGGTTTTCAACTACTTTTGCTACACTGAGAATCACTGTGTTAAAGGCTGCTGACATCCAGCTCTTGGGAGCTTAGATATTTGTTCAACCTTATGCAACATAGAATATGAATCATGATTCTCTTTGGTATCCTGCATTATGCCATTTATATTCTGAATTTAGGTTAGCCTGTCTTTGCTCTGTGGTGCATCGTTAATCTGGGAGACTTGAAACTTCTTGAAGGCAGTGGGGTGGCAAAACAAACTTTCTTATGAACAAGAGATAGCCAAAAGCCCAGAGATGCCAGGAAATTTTCACATAGACATTCATATAGAATCACACAGTATTTCTATAATACACGTAGAATAATTAAAATTACTTCAAGGTGCCTTGCAATATTTGGAAATAATAATGATTGCAAAACCAGGTAAGTGCTTGATGACAGTTATGGAGAAAAGATGAAGTGTCACAGATGAGTTCTCTTTTATTTTAAAATCTAATGTAATAGAAATAAATTATAAAGTCCAAAGAGGCATACAAATTCCAAAACTCAGCTAAGTACTACCTAGAGGCATAACCAAGTACTCTATGGCTTATTTTGTGGCTGCTTTCTTCACAAAATTCATGTAATCTATTTTCACTCTGAACTGTTAAAACAATATGTAACTTGAAACTGCACTAAATTTCTCCAGTAGTTAAAAGTGGTATCTTTAAAACCAAAATGTTTCTATGATAGTGCAGACAATTCAATTCCTAAATGCTCAATTTCTAATGATGATACCTAAACCCATAATGACCAAATTGGTAATTGCATGTAAACACCAAAAATAATTCAAGAGTTAATTTTCTATTTAATAGACTATTTAGGATCTTCAATTACCCATGTCCGTGCTGGTGTATAATTTTTTAATCATCTTACAGGTGTTATCCCTCTAACAGAGCTCTGCCTTTGTTATTTTGTTTTGCTATTTCAAGCACTGAGGTTATAGTCTGTTCTTTACTTTGAGAAATGTGTGTGATCCTGAAAGCTAATATACCAATATGTATTTACTCTGTGTTAGGCTTCGTACTCTGTTAGGCTGTGGCAAACACAAAAGATGGTCCCCACACAAGAATCAGTCAAAAATCAAGTTTATGAATAGCTAAACTGTGAAGCAGAATACAAATGGTCTTGGAAATCTAAGGAAGAGAGAATACTAAGGAATGAAATAGTTCAGTATACTCTCCCTGAAGGAGAGGACTTGCGTTGATTTTTGAAAGACAGTTTAGGATTCAGAGGGAAAGGTACTGGATTTTCAAGTGGGGAAAAGATCATGATCAAATTATTTGAAGAGATCAGTCAGAAGTCTAAACTGGAGATAAGCGGTGATGTTATAAGGTAGTGAGAGAGAAGCTTGGCTAAGCAGAAATCATTTTGTAAAATCTTAATACTTAATGCAATCAGCAAAAGGGAGCCATTAAGCTAATTTTGAACAAGGATATAACATGAAAGATTAGTATTTAAGGAAGCTTCAGGTGACAGTGACATGCATGGATTGAATGGGAATAATACCAAAAGCTGTGAAACCAGTTTGGAGACAGTTATAACCTAAATGATAGTATCAAAATCAGAAAGAAAAGATAACAGACAGAATATCCAGAAGAGAAACAAACCACTAGCTATCTAATTCAAAGCTCTCCTTTTTTTCAAATGAAAAAACTGAGGTTTTGGAAGGTTGTGTGGCTTGTACAAGTCGATCATTTTCCCAGTTAGCAGCAGAGTTGGTATTAAAACCTAGGTTTCTGGAGAAATTTTGAAGAAAGAAATTGCAGGACTTAATAAGAAAGTTTGGCAATATCAATAGAGATAAAAAAGCATAAAGCTTATCTCTGTGATTTAGAGTCGAGATGAGTGGTTTAACAGTGCCACACTAACGATGAAGGAGTTAAGGAAATTTGGGGTGGGGGGAAGCTGATGAGTTAGAATTTTATTTTGATGAATTTGAGGTGATGACAGAATATATAGGTAGGCATGTCCAGCAACAACTGGAAATAAGGAATAGCTCAGAGCTGACACATAGTTCTACAGCTCCTACCCAGACCTCTCTCCAAGCATCTAGTTTCATCATATATCCAACCACTCATTTGACACTGGCTCCTCCAACTTAAATCAGCCCAAACTGAATTAACTCAATTCTCTATCTGCATTAGTACCATTACCCATGCTGCTCATTCAATGGACAAATATTTATTGTCACTAAAGTCACAAACATGGGACTCATCTTCATCTCCTTCTTTTACCTCACCAACAGCAGCCAATCAATGACTAAATCCTAGTTGGTTTTTCCACCTTCCTATTTGTCCATTCTTATTACAGCCATCTTGGTTTAGATCCCTGTCACCTCATGCCTGGTTTATAGTAATAGTTTCCTACCTTTGCCCCAGATCCTATTTTAGCCTTCCTTCACATTTCTGCTCCTATTTCAAAACTGAACTTAAAAATGACATCCTCTATAAATTTTTCTGATCTTCTCTCACCCAGTAGAACTAATGAGCCTCTGCTGTGTGTCTTCTTTGTACACAGCCCACATTACTCTATTGCAAGTATACCTGAATGTCTATATCTTCCCCTAGACTGGATGGTCTTTGAAAGCAGGAGCCATATCTTATTCACCATTGTGTCTCCTAAAAGAGTGCAAAATTCCCAAATGGCTTATTTCAGAGACCTAGATGACAGTTAAGGTTCAAGAACAGATAGAGGCCATTAAAAAAAAATACAGAGAAGGACTATGACAAGTACTTTCCAAAAAGCCAAGGAAGAAAAGAGCTTTAATAAGAAATCATTCAAAGGGAGTAAAAAAAGGAAATCATTCACATTACTCTAACTGTGAGAAACTGAAGAAAATCCAAGACTCCAAAATAGAGCGCAATCTGACATACAATACATGATGCCAACAAAGTGTTAAATATGAAATATAGATGGATCAACGTTCGTGTAAAACAATGCTAAATGGAAAAGTAGAAGATAATGTTGTATAAGCTATTGATAATGACCTTATAAAAATATACGACCTTGGGACTTCTCACCAAGATGGAGGCATATATACACACACTTCACCTCCTCACACAACCATAAGAAGGATAACAACCAATATAAAAACAAACAAAGAGAGCTTCCAGAAAGTTGAACTGTATGGAAATCTAACAACCAAGGGGTTAAAGAAGAAACATTCATCCAGACAGGCAGCCAGGGCAGAGAGGACATGTGGCAAGGCAAAGCAGCTGGTATAACAGGCAATCCCACATTCAAATGCAGATAAAAACCAAGAGGGACAGTTGGGGAGTGAGCAATTCCAGCACCAGGGCAAACCACGCAACCCAGGGTTCCAGCACCGGGAAAATAAAGCC